TTAATCCGCTTGTTGGAACCTCAGGGTTTTGAGGGCACGGCGGAAAGCACGGAGATGAGGGATATTTCGTATCTCAGGGGGCAGTTCATTCCAAAGGGTTGGAGCCCTCACAGAGAAGGCCCTCCCCCTGGGAGTCGCCAGTCGGCATAATTTGACTGACGGTATGTCATTTAAATCATTTTTTACATATCAATTTTATTCAGTTTTACATTTAATTTCCATTTTCCATCTTAATTTCAATTAATTAATTAAGGAAGGGACCTTGTAGGTCATCTAGTCCAACCCCCCCGCCCAGCCAGAGGACCATACACCATTTCTGACAGATGGCAGTCGAATCTCATATTTGGGAGTTCCTGTGTCCTTTTTACTGTTTTGTGTGCAGCCCAGAGGTGTTTGTTGGAGGCAATTTACAGATTACCGATTAATAAAGTTGGAAGGGACCTTGTAGGTCATCTAGTCCAACCCCCCACTCAAGCAGGAGACCCTACACCATTTCTGACAAATGGCAGCCCAGTCTCTTCTTGAAAGCCTCCAGTGATGAAGCTCCCACAACTTCCGAAGGCAACTTCTGTTCCCTGGGTTGATTGTTCTCACGGTCAGAAAATGTCTCCTTATTTCCAGGTTGAATCACTCCTTGATCAGTTTCCATCCCATTATTCCTTGAATGGTCTTCAGGTGCTTTGGATAATAGCCTGACCCCCCCCCCCTCCTCTCTGGGGAAGCCCCTCAAATATTGGAACACTGCTTTCATGCCCCTTTAATGGACATCATTGCAATCTGACTGCCTACCAACCTGCCTTCCGTTGAGGACCTGTATACTGCACGAGTCAAAAAGACGACTGTGAAAATATCCTCAGACCCCTCAAATCCTGGACATCAACTATTTCATCTTCTACCCTCAAAACGACATTATAGAGCATTGCACACCAGAAAAACTAGACAACGGACAGTTTTCCCCCACATGCCATCACTCTGCTAAACAACTAATTCCCACAATATTGTAGAACTATTTACTAAGACTGTATTACTATTCTTCTTCTCAACCTTCCGATTACTACCTCCTTTTCTACTTATGACTATACAGTAAACTTATTGTTAGAATCCTTACGATTTATATTGTTTTATTTAGTTTCCTAGTATGATTTTTGATTGCTTATTTAGTGTCCTATGACTATCACTAAGTGTTGCATCTTATGATTCATGATGAATGTATTTATGATAACTATGATCGTGATCTGTCACTTATATCGTTTATGTACACTGAGAGCTTATGCACCGGAGACAAATTCCTTGTGTGTCCAATCACACTTGGCCAATAAAGAATTCTATCTATGTTCTATATATTCAATATCATTTGAATCAAGATGATTAGGGAACTGGAGACTAAAACATATGAAGAACGGTTACAGGAACTGGGTATGTCTAGTTTAATGAAAAGAAGGACTAGGGGAGACATGATAGCAGCGTTCCAATATCTCAGGGGCTGCCACAAAGAAGAGGGAGTCAAGTCACGAACATCCTGACTTCCAACTTCTTCTTCCAAGGATATAAGAAACACTTAAATTCAACTCTTAGTTTAAAACTATAAGTGCTTCAAGCACTCTAGAGTTGAGACTCTAGAAAGAATGCAGAGAAGAGCAACAAAGATGATTAGGGGACTGGAGGCTAAAACATATAAAGAATTGGGTATGTCTAGTTTGATGAAAAGAAGGACTGGGCTGACATGATAGCAGGGTTCCAATATCTCAGGGGCTGCCACAAAGAAGAGGGAGTCAAGTTATTCTCCAAAGCACCTGAGGGCAGGACAAGAAGCAATGGATGGAAACTAATCAAGGAGAGAAGCAACTTAGAACTAAGGAGAAATTTCCTGACAGTTAGGACAATTGATCAGTGGAACAACTTGCCTCCAGAAGTTGTGAATGCTTCAACACTGGAAGTTTTTAAAAAGATGTTGGATAACCATTTGTTTGAAGTGGTGTAGGGTTTCCTGCCTAAGCTGGGGGTTGGACTAGAAGACCTCCAAGGTCCCTTCCAACTCTGTTATTCTATTGTATTCTATCTCACCAAGCCCACTGATCCACCCCCACCTGTTCTTATTAATCTATAAAACCCACTGCCACTAGAAATTAAAAGACTACTATTATGCCATAGGAGTCCCCGCTTTCAGAGATGCACATCTAAACCACTGCTTCGCAACCTTGGCATTTTAAAGCCCTGTGGACTTCAACTCCCAGAATTCCCCAGCCAGTTTATGGAAGCCCAGCTGTAGAATTGTGGGCTGCCTCAATGAAGCTGGTTTAATTCCATTTACGTGTAAAGCCATTTCTTCACTGGGCATAATCCACATGTGTAAAAACTACAGCTCTCATAACTTTGTTAAATTTATTTGCCTCTGTATATCCTGCCATGGGCTGCTTTAAGCGGCTTACAACAGTAAAGCAGGAAAAATGATAAAAATGTGAACATAATAGTAATGAAACTGTAGGAAGAAATATCCTTCTGGGTTCAGCTCCAAGTGGAGAAAAAGACACTGGAAATGTTTGGAGACTGCTTGGAAAGATGGTTTAATGGTGGACAGGATCACATGGTTTGAGTTCCTGAACAGAAAAAGGGGTGAGATGCAGTGAGACCCCGGGTTTTATGCCCTCTCTGGCTTTGAACTTCCTGGGGCCCAGAAAGAGTATCCTGATTGGTTGTCAGACTCCCAGGGGGTGGGGGTCTTAGCTAGCCTTGCTGGTTGATGTAATCTTCCCAGGTGCCATGTGGTGAGTTTCTGCTGCTAGATGGGCCCTATTGTGTTGCAGATGAGTTTCAAAGATTGAGTTTCTGCCTCTTGCCCATTGACAAAGGTGTGGGGGGGAGAGGAGGCAGGAAGCTGCTTTGTCTTTAAAACATGCTTCTCCATTTCTCATCCAGGGAAACATAATATTCTGCCTTTTTAATATTTCCTAAAATATTTCCTTCTTTCAGGAAAGGGGTGGGTGCTAACTTCCTACACATCAAACTATACATACCCAGTGTTCCTGCAACCGTTCTTCCTATGTTTTAGTCTCCAGTCCCCTAATCATCTTGATTCAAATGATATTGAATATCTAGAGCATAGATAGAATTCTTTATTGGCCAAGTGTGATTGGACACACAAGGAATTTGTCTCCGGTGCATAAGCTCTCAGTGTACATAAAAGATATAAGTTCCTAAGATACGTATCGGAATGGAGAAGATGGATTGATTATATTCAAAATAAGTACCAGACAAGAAAATATCAAATAGCTTATGAATGAATGTTAGTATTAGAAGTATTTGGTTATCTGTAGTGGAGTTAAGGTTTCAGTGGGGGAGGCAGTACTTTGAGGTGTTGGAAGAAACATCCTTCTAGGTTCTGCTCCAAGTGGGGAAAACAGACACTGGAAACATGGAGACTGCTTGGAAAGATGGTTTAATGGTGGACAGGATCACATGGCTTGAGTTCCTGAACAGAAAAGGGCAGATACAGTAAATCCTTGGGTTTTTATGCTCTCCCTGGCTCTGCATTTCTTGGGGCCCCAAAAGAGTATCCTGATTGGTTGTCAGACGCCCAGGGGGTGGGGGCCTTGCTGACTGATGGTTACATGTGCTTCCCAGGTCACATGTGGTGAGTTTCTGCTGCTATTGTGTAGAGGGCTAATCCTATCTTTGGCAATTCCTACTATGGCTCTGCCTGAAGGAGGTAGATCTTTGTTATGTAGAATAGACTGGCCCAGGCCTTAATGGCCCATTGACAAAGGATGGGGGGCAGGAAGGTGGGAGCTGCTTTGTCTGTAAAATATGCTTCTCATATTTCTCATCCAGGGAAATATAATATTCTGCCTTTTTTCATATTTCCTAAAATATTTCACTCTTCCAGGAAAGGGGTGGGTGCTAACTTCCTACAGAGGATAAGTAGATTAATCTAGTTTATGTTTGATTAAATGAAATACCTTGTATTTTGCTCTGGGAAGTGGGGGGGGGGGGGGGGGGGGGGAACAGGGGAAAAAAAATTTTGTATCTTTTTTGTAAAACTTTTCAATTAAAAAAAAAAGATATAAGTTCCTATCATGTCACCCTAGTCCTTCTTTTCATCAAACTAGACATACCCAGTTCCTGCAACCGTTCTTCATGTTTTGGCCTCCAGTCCCCTAATTATCTTGGTTGCTCTTCTCTGCACGGGGCTTTAAATCAGATGAAGGCTGGTGATCAGCAGCTCTTCCTTTGCTTAAGTGGGTGGCTCTTAAAAGAGCCTTTGGGTTTTTTTTTTTTTTTTTAAAAAAAACTTCGGGGATCCCCGCGAGCTTTTGCAAGGAGAGACGACTTTACTTGGAGCTGGTGTATTTGGTGACGGCTTTGGTGCCCTCGGAGACGGCGTGCTTGGCCAGCTCTCCGGGCAGGAGGAGGCGGACGGCCGTCTGGATCTCCCGGGAGGTGATGGTGGAGCGCTTGTTGTAGTGAGCCAGGCGGGAAGCTTCAGCCGCGATGCGCTCGAAGATGTCGTTGACGAAGGAGTTCATGATGCTCATGGCCTTGGAGGAGATGCCGGTGTCTGGGTGGACCTGCTTCAACACCTTGTAGACGTAGATGGAGTAGCTCTCCTTGCGGCTCTTCTTGCGCTTCTTGTCTCCTTTCTTCTGAGTCTTGGTGATCGCCTTTTTAGATCCCTTTTTGGGCACCGGGGCAGATTTAGCCGGTTCGGGCATCCTTCGTCCTAGTTTAATCTACAGCACCACCGAATGAATTAATTTGCACTTCATTGAGCGGTCCAGCTTATAAAGGAGCCCTATGCAAACGAAGTCTTAAAAAAAAATGCTCTGCTTATGATTGGCTAATTTGAATGGTGGTGGGAAGAAGAAGAAGAAAAAAAAAACTTTTCGGAATGTTGGGTTTGACCAGCGGTGCGCTCTCATTGGTCGACCGCTAGGCATTTGCTTTCTCTCTCTCTCTCTCTCATTGGGTGATTTAAACAGACGTCCTTTTTTTTTTTTTTTTGGGTGATTGATTAGTCCGGGGAGGGGGGGAAAGAAGGAGGAGAAGTTGAGCCCAAACCTCATTGGACGAACGGAGATGCAAGCGGCCCAATCAAAAGAGGCGCTCGCGAGACTTTGAAAAAGTATATAAAGGGCCGGGAAAAGGCGAGTTTTTCATTCGGAGATTTGAAAGTCTTTTTTTTTTTCCTCTTTCTCCGCTTCTAGGCTAATTGAATCAAGATGTCCGGACGCGGCAAGCAAGGCGGCAAAGCCAGGGCCAAGGCCAAGACTCGCTCATCCCGCGCCGGCTTGCAGTTCCCCGTGGGCCGCGTGCATCGCCTGCTCCGCAAGGGCAACTACGCGGAGAGGGTGGGCGCCGGAGCTCCCGTCTACCTGGCCGCGGTGCTGGAATACCTGACGGCGGAAATCCTGGAGCTGGCGGGCAACGCGGCCCGGGATAACAAGAAGACTCGGATCATCCCGCGCCACTTGCAGCTGGCCATCCGCAACGACGAGGAGCTGAACAAGCTGCTGGGCAAAGTCACCATCGCCCAGGGAGGCGTCTTGCCCAACATCCAGGCCGTCCTCCTGCCCAAGAAGACCGAGAGCCACAAGGCCAAAGGGAAGTGAGGAGCTCTCCCGGCCCGCCGGCTTCAGCTCGCCCAAGAACGACACCCCCAAAAAAGGCTCTTTTAAGAGCCACCCACCTTTTCTCGGAAAGAGCTGAGGAGAACATAAAGTGGTTTTTTTTTTTTTGAGATGGGGTTTTTTTTTTAGAGAATTTAAAAGCCGATCTCTGATTTTTTTTTTCCCCCCTTGCAATCATAAATATTTTTTTTTTATAAAATTCTTTTTATTTTAAACACATTAAAAACAAAACATAGACGTACAACATTTATAGAAGGAAAAAAATAAAGAGAAAATCTCACTTTTCTTTTCGGCTGGATGCAGTGATTCTTTCTATATATCAATATTTACAGATATTTTAGTATTTATATATTTTTGTTTTCTCAGGTTTTCGCGGGTGTTTGTATGTAGGTCTTTGGTTATTCGGGTCTTATATATATTTTTATATATATACACATTTGGTTATTCGGGTCTTATATATATTTTTATATATATAACATTTGGTTATTCGGGTCTTATATATATTTTTATATATATACACATACATAAATACATATATATGTATGTATGTATGTGTATATATATAAAATTATATATATACATTATATTTATACATTATACATTATATTATATTATATTTATACATTTATACATTATATTATATATAATTTTATATATATAAAATTTTTTAATCTTAGTTTTTCCACTTCTCAATTTACACAACAGTCCTGACTTCCCAGCTAATATATATATACTGTAGGAAGTTAGCACCCACCCCTTTCCTGGAAGAGTGAAATATTTTAGGAAATATGAAAAAGGCAGAATATTATATTTCCCTGGATGAGAAATATGAGAAGCATATTTTACAGACAAAGCAGCTCCCACCTTCCTGCCCCCCACCCTTTGTCAATGGGCCATTAAGGCCTGGGCCAGTCTATTCTACATAACAAAGATCTGCCTCCTTCAGGCAGAGCCATAGTAGGAATTGCCAAAGATCCAACAAAGATAGGATTAGCCCTCTACACCAGTGGTCCCCAACCCCCGGTCCGCGGACCGGTGCCGGGCCGTGGAGTACCTGGCACCGGGCCGCGCAGCGGCCGGGGGACAGGAACGCTTCAGCGCAAAGGCTCCTGGGCCGTGCGCAATGGGCCTGCGCAAAGGCTCCTGGGCCGTGCGCAATGGGCCTGCGCAAAGGCTCCTGGGCCGTGGCCCCACCCCTGCGCGCGCTCAGCGGGCCGCGGCGATAAAAAGGTTCCATGTGACCTGGGAAGCACATGTGACCATCAGCCAGCAAGGCCCCCACCCCCTGGGAGTCTGACAACCAATCAGGATACTCTTTTGGGGCCCCAAGAAATGCAGAGCCAGAGAGAGCATAAAAACCCGAGGATTTACTGTATCTGCCCTTTTTCTGTTCAGGAACTCAAGCCATGTGATCCTGTCCACCATTAAACCATCTTTCCAAGCAGTCTCCATGTTTCCAGTGTCTGTTTTCCCCACTTGGAGCAGAACCCAGAAGGATGTTTCTTCCAACAATACCACCCTTCTCTCTGAGGACTTAGGGCGGTGCACAGCCAGAATTAAAAACATGAAATACAAATATTAAAAAACAATTAAAATATATATAAATTTGGCCCAAAAATTTAAAAATCACAAACCAATTAAAACATTTAAAAAATTTGAATGTTATTTTGAAGTGTATGGTAAGAGGGGGAAGTAATAATAATAATATTACTAGAAGTAAGGGTCAGTATTTGGAAGAGGGAGTAAGGGGATGGTAAAATATTATATAATCTGTTATGTATTAGGTTTTTATTTTGAAGAAGTCACAGGGGAGGGGGGTTGGGGTGGTGAGGGGGGGGGTTGGGGGGGAGGGGGGGGAAAGGAAAAATTTGTAATTGAAAACTTTTTCAATAAAAAAAAAAAACATTTAAAAAATTTAAAAATTTCTTCCTAAACCAGCCCGGCTTGCTGGAAAAAGTGGGTTTTAAGGGCACGGCGGAAGGCACTGTGGTCTTATTTAACATTCATTTTCTGCTTTCTTTCATTCCCTCTCTATTCTATAAGTTGATCGGCCACATTTTCCCCCTCCTTTCTTCATTCATGTTTGTTTTTTGTTTTGTTTGTTTTTATTAAATTGATATACCGCCCTACTCCCGAAGGACTCAGGGTGGTGAACAGGCACAAAATAAAATACATAGATACGAAAGTTAGAAATATAATTAAAACCAGATTAAATAATTTAGCCCGAGACAATTAAAAACCCCAATAATTTAAAACAGATTAAAATTTTGATTTAAAAGAATTTTAAAACGAGAAAATTAGGCCAGGCCAGTAATTAGCCGGGTAACTTATTTCCTTATTTTTCAACCATTCATACCATCTACTCTGTATCTTATAGTACTTTGATTCTTCTTTTCCCTTAATTTCTTTAGTTTATCTAATTCTGCGCGTTCCAGGATTTTCTTAATTAAATCCTCTTCGGATGGTGAGTTTTCTTTCTTCCAATATTGCGCATATACAATACGTGCTGCGGTCAGTATATGCAATATGCCTGATTGCAAAGGAATTCTGGACGAAAATTAAAACGGATAGAAGAAATAACTCAGAATTCAATACAGAGAGAACCGGAACAGTTTTTGTTAGGAATCTCGATAGAAAATTACACTAAAGAAATACAGTACCTCATATTGCAATCATAAAATTTTTTAAAGTAATTTTTATTGAACAGTTTGTTTTTTAAAAGAACAGATAGTAACACTTTCTTCTTTTCAAGTTTCCCATCGGTAATCCATACTTTTAATACATTTTCTCTCTCTCATCTTAGTATATCTTTTATACATATATTTCTAACTGTATCCTATATATATACTGCTCAAACAACTAAAGGGAACACAAAACTACTGTATGTAACGAACAAAGTATTTAATAAGGCTATTTCTTTCATTCAGATCTTGGATGTCTTCTTGTGTTCCCTTTATTTTTTTGAGCAGTGTATGTACCATTATAATGTATTATGTTATTCTAATGGTTTTATTTGCATTTGACATAAACGTGTACACAATTTCCTTTTCATGATTTTTATTTCTTCCCATTTGTTCCTATATTTCTCCACCCAATTGCAATCATAAAATTTAACTTAAAACCTGCAATTACTGCAAGTTCAAATCTCACCAGGCTCAAGGTTGACTCAGCCTTCCATCCTTTCGAGGTAGGTAAAATGAGGACCCGGTTTGTGGGGGAAAAAAGGTGACTTTGTATAAAAAAAAAGAACACCGCTTGGGGGGGGGGCGAAAGCCCTACTAAGCAGGTATATACAAAAGTATGAAGGCTATTTCTTAACACATTGTAAGCCGCCCTGAGTCTCTGGAGAAGGGCGGCATATAAATCGAACCAATAAATAAATAAACAATAAATGACTATCACTAAGGGTTGTATTTTAGGATTCTTGATGAATGTATTTTTTTTCCTTTCTTTTTATGTACACTGAGGGCGTATGCACCAAGACAAATTCCTTGTGTGTCCAATCATACTTGGCCAATAAAAGTTCTATTCAATTTCTATTTCTATTTCTATTTCTATTTCTATTTCTATTCCTATTCCTATTCCTATTCCTATTCCTATTTCTATTCCTATTTCTATTCCTATTCCTATTTCTATTCCTATTCCTATCCTATCCTATCCTATATGCACCAAAGACAACGTCATCCAGGTCATAATTGAATAGACAGAACAGAACAGAACAGAATAGAATTCTTTATTGGCCAAGTGTGATTGGACACACAAGGATTTGGTCTTTGGTGCATATGCTCTCAGTGTACATAAGGAGGATAAATACATTCATCAAGAATAAAAAGATACAACACTTAGTGATAGTCAAGGTTATTAATAAGCTATCAAATGTACCAAATGTATCAAATAGAATTTTTTTTTAAATTGGCCAAGTGTGATTGGACACACAAGGAATTTGTCTTGGTGCATACGCTCTCAATGTACATAAAAGAAAAGAGATGTTCATCAAGAATCATAAGGTACAACACTTAATGATAGTCATAGGGTGCAAATAAGCAATAAGGAAACAATATCAATATAAATTGTAAGGATACAAGCAACAAAGTTACAGTCATACAGTCATAAGTGGAAGGAGATGGGTGAGGGGAATGATGAGATTAATAGTAGTGCAGACTTAGTAAATAGTTTGACAGTGTTGAGGGAGTGATCACTTAGAATCACTTAATGATAGTCAAGGTTACTAATAAGCTATCAAATGTACTAGGAAACAAAAACATTTGAAAGATAGAAGCAACATAGTTACAGTCATAAGTGGGAAGAGAGAGATACTAGTAAGGAAGAGAAGAAAAATAGTAATAGTCTTTTACTATTATTCTTCTCTTAGTAAATTATTTGACACATTATTTGAATAACTTATTTTTATTATATATATATATATATATATATATATATATATATATATATATATATATATATAATTTTTATTATATATATTGTTATTATTTCAATAACTCGTGTATCCAATCACACTTGGCCAATAAATTCCTATTCTATTTTTGTGTGTGCTAATTAAATTAAAAGAAATTACCTACTTATTACCTCAAGATTACAGCCAGTCTTTTCAGTTTTCCAATTGTGTTTAAAGTCATCCACTTTCGTTTATATGGAGATTCCCCCTCCCCCAAGAGGCAACTGGACTTCCTGGTTTGTCTTTGAAGACGTTTCTTTGAATGACCCACTTTCTGCAATGAGTATAAATCTATTTCCCATCATTCATTCTGAGCTGAAGAAGCTGCTTGGATGAGAACGAAACGTGTTCAAAAGACAAAAAAACAGAAAGTCCTCTTGCCTCTTGAAAAAAAAAGCCACTTTTGAGATAATAAAACCGGGTTTTTCTTAAAAAGCCATTCATTTCATCCCCTTGGCCTTATTCTCACACATAACTCATTTTAAATGTCATCTAATTCTGGGTTTTATTTAATTGACCAAACTAAGTAATAATTTTAATTAGCAATTTTATGATCTTTGTGTGTCTATATTTTTCTTGACTGTACACCACCTTGAGTCCTACGGGA